GGTCATGTCTGTGCCATCCCCAACTTTGCAAAAGGTGAGATTTTACTAAGTGCTAGGCGAAACAGGACTTCCTGCATTTAGCCAAAATACCCTTCACTTACATTTCCGGAGTGTCACCTTGTCCTGGCATTTGGTTTCTTGGAGAACACATCCTCACTGTGTATGAGTTTATAGACCTCAATCCTGCCCTTACCATCACTATTGTATTCTCCATTCTGGTTGACTGCCAGAGACAACAGTTCAGTTATTTTAACGATTAATTTTTCCTTTGGCTTTGAATTTCTGGCTGGAAAGGTATTGGGAGCATGAAGCTGTGGGGCACTTTAAGCTTCTAAGTCTCTGCAGTCAAGTTAATTTGTGTAGTGTAGAATTATAGGGGCTGTTCTTTCTCAAAGAAGTCCTGTATGAATTCTTATAAATCCACTTAAGTCCTTACATACAGTTTTAAGAAAAATAGATCCTCTGCCTTAAATAAGTTGACTGTGAATTGAAACTATTTAGGTTATAATTGTATTCTTTCCTCTCAATGAATCTAAACTTACGCTGGCATTGCAATGATGTATGAGCACTTAAAACTGACTGTTAATACCACTTCCTATATTTTATTTTAAAAGAGTGAACGTTCATTTGCTAAGTGGATATTCTGTCTCATCAACAAAAGATGCAACATGGATAGCATAAGTCATTAGCATAATACTAATGCTTGCGAAAAGCCTTTGGAATGCCTAACTTAAAAAAGTATGCTACCAAGGACTTGGAAAGAATCTCAAACTCCAAGGCCAAAGAATCTACTGCATATTAATCTTCTTTATCAAAAAAGTTGATTGGGAACCTAAGGACAAAAATAAACCTATTATGCCATTGCAAAAAAAATAAGAAAACAAACAAAAAAGCTTGAGAGACTGCATGGGATGGTGGAAAGATGCTATGCTGGGGAGAGGGAGATCTAGTAGTCCTAATTTTTTCCCCACCAGCTTTGAAATCTTTAGCCAGGCATTTCAGTCCTATGAATATCCATTTTTTCATTTGTAAAAGGAAGGATTTAAGTTATGCTTTTCTAGGATTTTTCTCTGACAAGCAGAATTTCAGAGCAATTTTACGACTTAACCAAAGTAGGAGGGTCCAGAGAAAGAGTTTGAAAAAACACCTTACAAAATTTATAACTATACACAAGGAGTGCAATGCGCACTACCCGAAGGATGGACATATTTGAAACACGGACTTCGGTGGGGGGGGGCCAAGGGCAACACACGTAACCTAAACATATGTACACCCATAATTTGCTGAAATAAAAAAAAAAAAAATCTAAAAAAAAAAAAAAAATTTATAACTGGAGTTCTGCCTTTCAAGAGCACCTAATTCTTTTAAATGAAAGCATGCATGCAGATTCACTCAGCTGTTATTCTTGAAAAGGAGAGAGTAAATATAGGAGAGAGTAAAAGTGTGACTGTTAAAACCTCCAGGTACAATTAGAAAACTAGTGATTGTTTTCTGTCTCATTTTTAAACTTAAAGTTTTGCTTTAAGTATCTTCCTAATGCGGAGGAGGGTGATTTAGAGAACATACTGTCTTCATTTAAGATGAGAAGTCCACTGAGTATGAAGGAAATCTATGATTTTATGTTATTGCCTTAAATTTTTCCTGACACGTATTTCGAAATTTTCTGATGGTTCCGACCTGCCGTCATTGCTAGAATACAAGCAAGTGCATTCCTTTCTACACACGTTCTGCAGTGTCATCAGCTTGCAAAGCATGTGTCCAGAGACTAAGTCAAGAGTTTTCCCGAGGAGATGTTAGGGACTGATATATGAAAGCTACAAAGAGATGGTGGGCACAGGAATAAGTTGCTCAGCATCCCTCAGTAATTCATGGCTCTATAGAACACACTGTAAAATTTATGCATAGCCACGCAATTTCTAGGAATTGATGTCAGGGGCCATAACATTTACTCTTCAGATGTATTTACAGATTACATTGACTCATTTTGCCTACTGTATGCCTAAGGAACACATTGCAATGCAGCCTAATGCATATGTAGTTGACAATGTTTTTAACACATTCACCTATCGTCCACCTACAACATATACGTATGTTCAATAAAAACCTAAACTTAAATTTTCAAATGTACATGTATGCTTTTAGGGGAAAAGCGGAGAGTGCGCATGGCTGAAGAATGAAGGTCTGTTATCTCAAAAATAACTTTCAAAGTTATATCATCACATATTACAGGGAAAATATGTTTAAAATCCATCATAATGAACCATGTACTAACTTATAAAGTCTTCAGAGCCATATAGATTTGAGGGGAAAATCAGTTACATCTTATAGTAAAGATATATTACTACAATTGAATATAGAAGTAATACAAAATTTTAACGCTCTCCTTTCTAGCATTTTATAAATTACTCTTGAACTTTCTTGATTACTCTGTTACTTTTTTTGCTCCTCCCCTCCCCCTCCCCAACAATATCAAGTTTTCAAATGCACTAGTAGTTGTGCCCTTATTTTTGTCTCCCAGGCAAGTTGCTATTAGGGGTCACTTCCCATGTACGGAGAAAACAATCTTCATGGATAATAATGATAAAACTTTATGGAATGCAAAAACAACCAAAATATGTATTCTCGGATGACAGCATTAGGGCCAAGTCAATATTAGTCTCACTTCACCCACGCACCACATAGTCTAAAAATGCTGTCAGCCTGATAAGAATTTCCTGATTTACTCTTTTTTCCAATAGAAAATGTAGGTCATCAAAATAAACTCCTGACAGTAAAAGAACAGTAGTTACACTGTCAAGTCTCTTTTTATTCTGCTGGCTGGTTATGGTGAAATAGTTTCGTTACTTGACTGAAAAAGAAATCTTAAGCCATTTTAGTAAAAGCAACATGAAAATTTCCAAGCACACCTCTCAACTAAATTCTATGGTCAAGTCAGCCTAATATCTACTTAAACGGTGTCTACAAAATTCCAAAATATAGCAGGCGTTGATCATTATGCAACTCATCAACGCAGACAAATCAGGTTTAGAAAAAAAGAAAAAGAGCATTCTTTGGTGTTTTGATGGATTTAGAAAAAGAATGGAATTTGAGGACTGAATCTTAAGGCTGTTGAAAAAGTTAGATAAAATATTTAGAGCAATTTCTTATGGAAAAGTAACTTTTATGATTGGTAATTTGTAATTTCTTTCTGATACTGAATTTTATTTTCTAGTTCAAAACAGGTATTACAATCCTAACCCCCACCACAGATTCATATTTCAGTGGAATTAATTTCACAACTCTAAAATATAAAATCTTATTTGAAACTTCTATACTAGTTTCTAATTTTTTAAGGGGGGAAGTATCCTTTTGTATATTTAGTAATGTTGAGTCTGTTGCTTGTCCACATTCCAATTGATAACTGAAGGCCCCTACAGCCTCAGAGATCAAGGAAAGTGTGCTTCATCTGGGACTGAGTGTTTACAAAATGTAGAAACTAGGGTCTCTTTCCCTCACTTGCCTGATTTTACCTTCATGGCTTTCTCCATTGCTTATATTTTTTATATTTAAAGCCAAAGAAAAACAAACAGCATAATCAAAATGTTTTCATCTGTCACCCTTGACCACAAATTACAAAATGCTTTCCCATTCCCCTCCCCAAAAGCCATTTTGCTTTGAAATGCTGAAGTTGCTGAATATTAAAAAAAAAAAAAAAAAGATAGCAAGAAAGTAAGACTAATTTCACTTTGCCCTAATTGGTCCCAGTTAAGCTGGTACTGTTTAGCAGATGAATCTGGGGCATGTACCCTTCCAGAATCAGCTGAATTTCACAGTCCCTAAATTCTAAACAGAAAGTTATGATTTCTTTCCAAAGAGTAGCAGTATAATTCTAGCAAAGAGACAGAAGTAGAGGAAATATAGAAATTAAAAGGCCAGATTAATTAAAGGACCTAATCCTTACAGCCACAATAAAACATATGGTTCCTAAAAAACTGAAAAAAATAAATTAATAAATTCTATGGATAGTAATTTCCTAACCACATCTAGTCATATTTTTTCAGCTTTACAACTGACCCTAATCAACTCACCCTAATTCCCATAATCTGACGAAGTCCCTATACTGTATGGCCCCTTGGCACACACATACTTTTTTTTTAACGTAGCACTTGCTAAACCTTGGCACACTCTCTGTTGTGTCCAGAGAGCAATGTTCGAAGGCACCTAGTGTCAAATTCCCCAGAACTCTACCGTCCCTTCTAAAGTAACTATATCATTTCCCCAGTTCCCGGCCCCCTTTTTATGGGCATTTTCAGCTACTCTTGGCACCACTGAGACCCAGCATCCAGAGATCCAAAGTTACCTCTTGGCTGGGAGACGTGCTGTCAACAGACTGAACACTTACTACGACAAGCTCTGTGCTTGCTGGGATTGGAAAATGAATGGATAACATTGCAATCCATCTCCATCCTCTAAGCCACAGTCTCAGGGAGAAAGACTCTATGGAGAAGTTGAAGCAATGTCTAATAGACGTTACACTAGACCATTGTTTCACCATAAGTCTCAGATCACTTCATAAACTCACTGTCCAGGTAGCCTCCCGTACCTTGGTGGCACACTTCATCCTCCTAATCAAGAAAAGCCCGAAACACTCTACCTTTCCAAAGGAAACAAAATCGTATGTTTAAAGGAAGTTTACTCACATAGTCCTAAGACAGATGCCCTTGGTGAGCTTCAGAGAACTGAGTCGTAAGAGCTAGGGTGGCTATGAGGAGCTGTCTCTGAGCTCCGGTGACAACAGCTCAATGAAGCCCCCAGCCAGGTAATGCCTCACCCACCAGTCCACCCCGCTGTTCTGCCCTTCGCAAAGCCTCTCCTCCTCCTCTCTTCGCATGGCTTTTTGCTCACGGGCGCTCCCGCAGGTCCCAGAGCATCCTCCGCACAACCGGTCGCCAGAGCCTCAGACCGATACTCTCGGTGCCCCTCGCCCCCGCCCCCGGCAGGCTGCCCGGTCGGTGACTCACCTGCTGGCCAGGTTGGGGCGCCGGATGGTAGTAGGCTGTGGGGCAGGTTGCAGCTGCCACAGGGTTGGGCAGATACTGGGACGCTCCATACGGCTGCGGGTGATACATCACCTCCGCACAACTCATGGCAACCGGGGCAGCGGCGGCCCCCGAGCTGCCGCCGCCTCTCTACGCGCTGGCGAGAGGGGCCCCGCCGCCGCCGCCGCCGCCGCCGCAGCTGCCGCCTCTGTCGCTGCTCCAGCTGCTACTGCGGCGAAGGCGGGTCCTCGGCGGCCTTGGGCTCCGCGCGGGGCGCGGGCTCGGGAGGGGTTGGCAATCAGCGGGGGCCCATGCGCGGGCACCTTCATCTTCAGCCCCTCCGGGTGCCCCCTTGCCCGCGCTTATGTAGCGGCTCAAGGACGCAGCCGCCTGCTGCGCGGCTGGGGCATGACAGTGCCCGGCTCCGGCAAGGGCAGCGGCGCCCACGACAGCGCCAGTCACAGCCGCAGCGGGGCCGGGGTCAGGCAGCCAGGGAGAGCGGGGCTCTGGTTTGCATATACACAATGCACGCCCGGGGCTCGTCCTATCACCGGCGCTCCCGGCTGGGCGAGGACCCGGAGGTGGGGGCAGAGGGAGGGGAGAGCTGGGGAGGAGCGGGAGCACTTCGCCTCCCCAGGCTCGGAGGCCGAGCTTTTGCAAAGTTCCTCCAACTCAGTCCGCGGCGGGCGGGTCACCCAGCAGGGGGACCCCGGGGAGGGCCCTCTGCGGATTGGAGCGAAGTTTGCAGCCCTCTCCGCCTCCCAGCATGGGATGGTGGTGGGAGGGGAATGGTATGCAAAAGCTCCGCGCCCTCAAAGCCCAGCTGGTTCTCACCCTGTTTCTGTCACCTGGCCGTCAGAGCGAGGGCTTCCCAACTCCGAGGAACTTTTATAGGGAACACCAGCCCAGAGGCTAGGGACAAATGAAGGCCAAGCATACAAAGAGGCAAAGCAGAGCAGACGCAAAATACACGGGAATTAGCTCCCACATTAAAAATAACCGTAAGTGAAAGTTAACATTGCAAGTGCGCACATGCCAAGAATGCAACACAGTTTTCTGCAAGTAATATCCGCTTTAAGTTTATACCTTTTCGGTATGACATTCTTGTGAAACGTCCACCTTTTCTGGCTTTTATAGCCTGGCTTCCATAGAGCAATAGAAAATAATTGATCAAACACATTCAACCACGATTTAAAGGTTCATTTATTTGCAAGTGGCTTATAACGCTCTCCAAAATAAAAAAGAAATCTTTAGGAATATAACCGTATTCTAATATAATCAGTAGAAATGAATTATACTCACTTTATAAATGAGCAAACTTTAGCTCTGACCTTTAACACATATATATCTCTTCCCATACAAAGGTATCCTCTTTTATGACTCAGAGTAATTTCTTACTTTCACAGTCTGTTCTTTCTTGAAGAAAATGTCAGTCAGTTTGAATGTAAAATGTGCTGATGTTGTCCTGGACTGAATTGCCTCTCCTCAAAAGTTCCTATACTGAAGCCCTAACCCCCATCGTGACTATATGGGGAAATAGGGTATTTGAGGAAGTAATTAGGGTTAAATGAGTTGTAATAGTGAGACCTTAATCTGAAAGGACTGATGTCCTTCCGAGAAGACAACACACCAGAGATATCTCTCTCTCTTTCTCTGCGCTGGCACAGAGCAAATGCCATCTAATAAGCAAGTGAGAAGGCAGCGATCTACAAGCCAGGAAGACAGTTCTCACCTAAAATCAACACTGACCACACCTGGATTTTGGAATTCTAGACTCCAGAACTGTGAAAAAATTAATCTGTTTTTTAAGCCACCCAGTCTGTGGTATTTTGTTGTGGCAGCCCTAGCAGACTAATACCGATGTACAGTTCTAATATTGTTAATGTTTACATAATTGTGCATGTGTGTATGCCTAATTACACAGATACACATGTGCATGCAAATACACTCACACACTCAAACATACAAACTATAATAATTGGATAAGAACTGAATATTAAAAGCATATTTATTAAGGGCTTGCACAGTTTGGACTTTAAATTGTGTTCTTTGTAGTGAGGTAATACTCCTGTCAATAAGATATATAAGAATTTACCTTAAATGTTTAGTATTTCCTTTCCCCAAGCTGACATCCCCTGGTCAGATCCCTTTCCTGTGTTCCAGACTCATCTCTTCAGCTTCTTTCTAGAAGATCCCAACGTTTACATTTCTACTGACTCTCTCCCCTCATCTCCTTATCTCTGTTGCTATAATCCTTAGTTCACTCAGCGTCTCTAACCCAGACTCCTGCAAAGAGGCTCCTAGCTGATTTCCAGGCCCCATGATGAACTCTGTCTACAATTTATATTCCTACTCTTTAATGATTCAGCCACTGCAAATTCGACAGATGATGTATCCATTTTTTAACAAATTTCACAGTAGCTCCCCAGTTTGCAGTCCAAACTGTATAACTTTCAAACTGTAGCCCCTGATAATGTTACTATCTCCTGCAACTGTTCAACAGCCACCTGAATCGAAATCTCCCTTTCTAGGAAGGAGCTATAGTATCTCCTACCAGCGTGTCGTTTTACAAGTGTGCAGAACATCTGCACCAACACATCGCCTCACTTTCTTCACTTACTAACTTACTCTTGTTCTTCAAGTAATTGTCTTGTAAAACATCCAGTGGAGACCAGCTTTAATGCCTCTATTCTTGGCAACTCCAGAACTCTATCAGTATTGCTGTCATCATAATAATATTCAACTACCTGATTTGAAATTGCTTATTTGCATATCTCCCCAACATGACCATGGCTGCTTTAGAGCAAGTACTGTGACTTTTATCTCTGAATTTTAATCATATTATGCCTGGCTTAACAAACATTCATTGAATAAATAAAGTACAATAAGGGAAGAAAAAAACTATTTGAAGAGCTTACAAACTCACAGGGTTGAAATTAGTCAAGGAAATTAGAACATGGGACATGTTACAAACTCTATTTCAAGCCTTCTGTTGTATGTTAGAATGAGTAGGCCCTTGTGATGTGAAAAATAAATTAGAACCTAGAGTATAAAGTGACTGAACAAGGCCACAGAGCTAGTTGTGAGGACAGCCCTTTCTCAGCATCGGACCTCCTGTTCAAACGCTAAATATCTCCAATTTTTTTCGAATAACTTAATGTATCTGTAGTTAATTATTTTTGTACAACTATGAGTTCAATGTCTGTCTCCTCTACTAGACTGTTGCAGAAGTCATTTATATCTCATTCATTCTCATATCTAACATTTAGAAGATGTTTGTATACATTTTTCAACTGAGAAAATAAAGCCAGAACTAGATTCAACATGACCAAACCCTCAATTACTACATTTTCCATGTGCCCCATATGGCTTCTGGTGTGTTGTCAATATTTATTATATGACAAAGATGTAGTTTTTGGATACTAGTAAGTCAAACAAAAGTTTGAAGATGTTTGGCAAAATCTTCCTACAATGCAATATCTTTTTATTGGTACCTCCTTTTATTTCTATATTTTACTGATGTAAGAAAATGAGAGTAAAGATAAATGCTGGCCAGAAGTAGAATATAGAAGAATGGGCAGAATAGGGAGACAAAATAGCTTATCAAAGGCTGCAGTCTTAGTGGGGTCATTAATTAAAATGAGGATAATTCCTACAAAGGAAAGCTAAGTTGGAGTTCTAGTGGGAAAGCAGATGTATCTGACTTCCCTCAGGTAGATAGTTAGCTCTTTAGAATGGAAAAACAAAATCAAAAGGATCATGAGTTTAAAACATCCTCTTTCACAGATAAGCAAACATGCTCTGATTAAAATCTCCTAGAGAACTGGTGGCAGAACTAAAACTAAAGTTCTACGTCTCTTAACTCTTGGTTCAGTTCTTTCCTTCACCCTAAAATAACAACATATAAACAAACATATATTTGTATTTACATGCATGCACACATAATACATATAAGCGTAAGTATACATGTTTTCATACATATTTACTTATGTGTATACATATACACATGCTTACATGCAAGAAGAGGTTTTTGATCAGATCATCCTTTGATCAACTTGCAGTTGCAGAAAAGGAGTCATGGTAGGGAAGATGCAGGCCAGTCACATTTAGCAAGAATGATTCACTCACATCAGAGAATGTGATCTGACCACTAGTGTACTCATTGTAATCTCTACTATGTGCAGGTGTCACGATTACTTGGAAAACACAGCAACGGTATGGGATTTGATTATATATACTTCTGAGCTAAAATTCTGCAGAGTTTACCTTTTTATCTTTTCTCCTTCTTTCACACTACTCTACCTCTTTATTCGTTCAGTTCCGATGTGGAACCTGATCCTAAATGAACTTAAATGATCCTAACTCTTCAGAATCATGGGTTCACAGTTGGTATACTTTTGGGCCACATCCACCAGATTGCCCAGAATATTCCCAAATTTTCCAGTTGGAATTTAGTGAGGTGGACCCCCAAACCTAGTTTTAGTTGGAGGAGTATCTTGAAATGGATTTTCCCAATATCTTTGCAATAAAATAGGAAGACAAAGAGGAGAGCTAATTTTTTGAATGATGACAGACAAGCCTGCATTAAATTTGGGGTCTCAGTATAAGAGAACATCTGGTCCCCACAGTACGTGCATAGGGACATCTGAACCTACATACCCAAATCCCCTCAGCCACCACACAGCTGACATTTGGCCAGGCCTTTAGCCTAAGCTGAGACAAGTGATAATGCAGCCTGCTCGAGGAATCATGGCTCTAAGGAAACTGGCCTGTGCCATCTGTGCAAGAAATTCTCAGGTCTTGAATACAGAAATGTGGTTGTTCTAGGCAGAAAAGTGCCCCCCCGAAAGATGGCCACAGTCTAATCCCTGGAACCTATGAATGTGTTATCTTACATAGAAAAAAAGGAGTTAAGATTACAGATGGAATTAAGGCTGCTAATCAGTGGATTTTAAGATAGGAAGATAATATTGGTTATCGGGGGGGGAGGGGGGAATATAATCACAAGGGTCCTCATAATGAGGGAGACAAGAGATAGAGGAGTCAGTTTCATATTGATGCAAAATAAGAATAAATACTCTACAGGCTACTATTGACTTTGAAGATGG